TTTTTTGGGGGGGGGGGGTCTCGAAATTTGAAAATTTGACATTTTGCTCCGTTGGGGGGGGGGGGGTAAGGTCGCCTTTTTTAGGTCAGCCATGAGAATATTTTTTTTTAATTTTTTATTATTATTCAAAAAACAAAAAAAAACCCCAAGGGGGGGGGGGGGGGGTTTATACACATAAAAATACCAAAGGGGGGGGGGGTTAACCCCCCAAACACCCCCCCCCCCCTGCGTACGCGCCTGATCCACACTATATCCCTGTAGGGCCTATACTCTCTCCTGCACACTCCACCTTGCTTGTGTGCCCGTATATAGACTCCATCCAAGTTTGGTTTTGAACTGGTCAACGTAGACCTCTTCCATTTCGCGTACCTTCTCGACCTGCGAACTCTACCACGATGTGCGGGACGTACCTCTGTCTGTTGCACGGCATCGATGTCGTGTCTTCGTCGTGAGCCAAGTTTCGTCGTGCCTGGAAAGAAACTTCGACCTTCAGATGTACCACATCATGGTCATCTACCTGATCGTGGCTCTCGGCATTCTGACTACCGTCAGCACGGGAGCGATCACGGATGGAAGAAGGAGTCCGATGTCGAACCTCGCCACAAGGACTGCGTCGCCAGGTCAGGATTGTTTTTATTATGTTTCGAAACTAATTATCATGACATTGTAAAGTGCACAATATATAATGAGGGACTTTGATGAGTGTTATGGTATCGCTATTATTACCATTATCATTAAACTCTATGTGTATAACCTTCATTATGCAATCCAAGATGGAAAGACACTAATGATTATAAATCAAGAAATAAACGGGAGGAGCGAAGACTGGAAGGAAGAGGGGTGACGAAAAATACACCGATATAGCTGCACATAATCAACAAGTGATTTGTTTTTATTTCATAACGTTGAAGGAGGGATCCTCAATAGAGGAATAGGGCAACCATTTTCAGTGAATTATTTTCTGGTTTGTTTGAAATTAAAAAAAAAGAAAGCAAATGCAGATCCATGTTCTATTTAACATCACCAGCGTTCACTATTGCCTCCCCCTTTTCACTCCTTCAAGGCCAAGGAGCGGACAGACTATTAAGAGAATGGTGACTGAGGGTGACGATGTGGCCTTTTTGGAATTATCCTGGAGAATGGCATAAACTCATCCTCTGTATCAACCACCAACGTACAACCACGGCACAACCACGGCACAACCACGGTACAACCAGTTTCATTATGGACTTCCTTTTTTCACAAACAGAGGAACTTCCAGACCACAGGAATGCGGACTGCGGAGTCGTATAAAGATCAGACTATATTCAGTGACAGTTCATATCGGCATCTTACCATATAAGGCGGTGTCACACAGAGGCCAAAATCCGGATTTTAGTTATCCGGATTTTAGTTATTCTCTTATTTGCTGTCTGTCATCAATTATCCCATCAAAAATCCTATAAGGAAGCAAGATAATTTTCCCTTGAAAGGATTTTCCAAGGGATTTTTTTAAGGGATTTTTAAGGGATTTTTCTGTGTGACACTGCCTATTGTGTCCAATTAGCCTTAATTGCTTGTTTATAACATTGGTGAAATTAACGAAGGCAATGATCAATATTATTCATATTCAATTCAAATCGTTATTCAACCCTAGGAAGCAGAATTCTCGGGGCTCTGTATAAGAATGAGATAATGAACACAAATATAACAAAATAAAAGACTTCCATAATATTGGCGTAATTCACGGCAATCGTTTTGTTGATCCTCCTTTGTCAGTTTGAATTTAGGGGACATAAGTGTGAAGAGAAAGACAGGGGGTGCGTTTATTGACCAAATTTTGGCTAGAATCAAGTTTCTCAAACGTCTTTCAGGCAAATTTAGAAAGTAATAAACGCAAAGCCTTTTTTAAAGGTCTTTAGATATGGGCATATCTAAAGACGCAAACATGTGTGTTTTGAATGTGACATACAGCCAGAATCACGTTTCTGAGAGATGATAAACGCAAAGCTGTTTTGAACCCCACATACAAATCGGACACACCAGATTAATTCCGGTCAGAGGCTAGCGCGCGCTATGTGTTGTGTACAAGCGTGTGTGTGTAGTTGACCTCTGAGAAACTGTCTGCTTTCCGGGTCAAACGGCGCAAAACAGCAGCGCTAACACAAGGCCTTAATCGTGAAGAGATGATAAACGCGACATCCCGCAAATCACTTTCGTATAGTGGGGTTCGATAGTGGGGTATGATAGTGGGGTACGATATGTACATAATCTAGTTGCAAGACCCAATAAACGCACCCTAAGAGAAGTAAACATGAAGATATAGATAGATGGATAGATAATAGATATTAAAAACAAATGGAAAGAAGGGCTGAGGAACATTGTAAGTTGGTGGTGAGCTAGGGGCGAAATATTTCGATGTTTGAATATTAAACAAAAAATGAGTTGTATGCAGCTCGGCACCTCAACAGGAATCAACTTTTATGTGGATTTCACCCCACCTTTAAATTTAAATTCACATGGTGGCACTCAGGGCTCAAATTAATTTTTGTCCACGGGGGCTCTTCCCCCCCCCCAAAAAAAAAGAGCCCCCGTGAGCCTTCTCACGGGGGCTGTTTTAGTACTGACGGGGGCTCTTTTTTATACAAATATCCATTGAATTGGTACCTATGATACTCCTCAATTATTTGCTATTTCATCATTATCATTCCAATCAGCATTTTCCCTCTTACAAATTTACAAGCTACATAGCTGTTACTGGCCTGTGTATATAATATATACGCATACAACACTGATCTTTATGATGTCTTTAACGTGACATATCTTCTTCTCCCCTTGCAAACGAGAAAGAAAACAAGGTCATTAAAAGGGATTAAGCGACAAATAATGATTGTGATTCAAATTGATGCGAATATTTGTTTGAATAAGCACTGCTAGTCACCCGAATCTTCTTTGTAAAAACAACTTTTACAAATCTCAGCCATGCTTACTGAGTTGAGACGTTCCATTCAATGTAAAATACTCTTTAAAGAATACACTTCTCCTAATCTGAAAGTGATCTTACAACACAGTGGCAGATTTGCATGGCTGAGATTTGTAAAAGTCGTTTTTACAAAGAAGATTCTGGTGAAAAGCATTGCTTATTCAAAAAAATCCTTGAATCACAATGATTATTTGTCGCATGATCCCTTTATTAAATAACCTTGTTTTCTTTTTTGTTTGCAGGGGAAAAGAAGCTATGTCACGTTAAGAAATCATAAAGATCAGTTGTATTATGCGTATATACCAGAACAAATGTTGATTATCAGAATATCATTTTGGAATACCTCTATACAAATACCACATTGTCTTTAGCCCGTATCAGTATTAGTATGATGCAATATAAAGCTATTATTCTTTATTTAATTCAGTATAATGCTTTTCCTCAAAAATAGTTTTGCCATTTTGTTAGGGTTGAGACGCTAAGAAATGGTTTCAAATGTACATTACACGAACCCTGAACCATTGCAAAATGATGGTGGCTCTCTCTCTCTCTCTCTCTTTACTTTAATCATGCATTATCAAATACATATAAAGCAGCAACCAACAACTTAGGGTTATCTGAGATAGGTGAAAGTAAGAGTTAAAAAGAAAGTCATGCTAAAACGGCGCTTCACTCCCCCCCCCCCCATGAAAAAAATAAAATAGATTAGTAGTCCTCCTCTCCAGCATCCCCCCCCCCCCGCTTTAATATCACATTTTCACTTGGCAGCCCAAGGGGGCCGAGGGTGGGAGGAGGGGGTTAAACCCCTAACCCTCACCCGTAGATCTGCCCATGTTACCATATCATTCCACGACATCTTGGACTTCCTCTTCTTCCCAATAGGGACTTTTAGATTTGCGTGGACGTGGACGTGTTACGTCCTTTTAAGGCACTGGCAATCACATGTGACGTCCTTTTAAGCACTGGCACTGCCTTAAAAGGAGGTCACACGTTTCAGTCCACGTTCCCATCGTGCAAATCTAAATGTCCCTAATATTGATTTACTGGTCGAGGTTCCTTATTTGCTAGTCATTTGAAATCACCAGATTTCAGCGGGTTAACGCTTTCACAACGAAAAACTTCTCCATGACCATGTTTCTGCCCTTGTGCGATCGCCTCCAGCTCCAGCAGACATAGCGCGGCAGCGTGCACACGTACCGCTACTAAGGGCGCAGTAGGCCTATAACCACTGCTGACGGCGGCACTGCACTGTGAGCTGAATCGGTAATAATAGGCCTACTCATAAAACAAAATAAAACAAGAAATCTTGCACGCTAATCTAAGTTCCATTTCATTTGAAAATTGAAACTCAATATTGTGTTAAAGTTATAACAGAAAAGAAAATCTTTATTTTATAATTCCACGGGGGCGATTTTTAATTTTGCAATCGCCCCCGTGAGCAACCTGACGGGGGCGATTATGTAGCTCACGGGGGCGAATCGCCCACCGCCCCCGTGTATTTTGAGCGCTGGTGGCACTAATTAATGGGCTTCCGTAGAAAGGGCCCTGGAATACCATGCATTTTCAGCGATTCAATGGAGATGTATAAAGGTAGAAAGAGTACAAAGGGAGAAATAAATCCAGGTGAAAGAAACTCAGAGGTCTTTTCTTTTTCATAGAGCTTGTATTTAATCATTCAAAAATGCCAAGTAGATCTAAATTACCGCAACATATTAAAGGCTTGGAACGGGAATGACCAATACAGAAAGAAAAGAAAAAATCTATCACTTTTTCTTTCTGTCTTACCTTACGTTAATCTTGGTTTCTTCCTTCTATCACTTTCTCTTTCTGTCTTTCCTTATGTTATTCTTTGTTTTTTCCTTCTTTCATTTCTCTTATGTTATTCTTTGTTTTTATCATTCTATCACTTTATCTTTCTGTCTTTCCTTATGTTATTCTTTGTTTGTTTTTTTCCTCCTTTCACCTTCTCTATGTTATTCTTTGTTTTTTAATTCATTCTATCACTTTATCTTTCTCTCTTTCCTTATGTTATCCTTTGTTTTTTTAATCATTCTATCACTTTCTCTTTCTGTTTTTACGTTTGATTTACGCTGCGATGTAGCATGATGACGTCATTTTGACGACGGGTCACTAGTTTTCTGACGAACCTCAAATCATCGATGAACGGGTTCGCAAATTTGGCCTGACGACGCCAGACGACCCGACGCATGCGCAAATCGCCGAAATGGCGTCATGACGTGACAAACGAAAACCCTAATAAAATAACAAGACCCATGTTTAATATAAGATGATGAAGCGGATCCTAATCGAATCAGTTGAGAGTGTACACTTGACCAGGCATTCATTTTGCTTAACATGTAATTTTACTAATGACCGGTCATTGGTAAAATCATGTTATAAAAACATTTTATAAAACAAATAAAACATCATCTTATAAAACAAATACTACACATCTAATGCCCTCACTGCCGCCTATTATTTGTATACGGGCTCATAATATCCTAGAAAGTAAACATATATGTACATTAAAAAAAAAAAAAAATCTTGTCATAATTTTTGTTGATATTCCGAACATATGTAAATGAGAATGTCCGAGATAATTATAAAATACATGTATTTGAAACAAGTCAAGTCAAGGTACATAATTCGATTCGATACACAGCGTGCTTTGATAACAATCTGTTTACCAATACAATCAAGCATCGTAAGCTTTCAAAGAAATTTTTGGTCAATCCATCTACATTTAGGCCAATTAAATATGAGAAAGGAGGGGGTTGCGGGTTTACGCATGTACATGAAATGAAATACTTTTTCTCGCTATCTTTATCTTTACTTTGAGTAAGCCCTACACTAAATTGCTATGTAATGACGAAGGTAGCAAGTTATAAACCCGGGGAGGGGGTGGGGGTAATCACATATTAAGAAATACGGGGATGTGCCACTTAAATGGGTCACATTTTCACCAAAAAATCCCTAAACATGGGTCCATTTTGAACAAGCATTTTATCCTGCCCCAAACAAAACCATGGTTGCTAAGCGACCGAAGAGGTTGGGTCATTCTCGTCAGCTTCGTTCGTAGGTTGTTCGTCGAATAACTCGGTAAGGCCTTTCATATCTTGGCCTTTCGAAGCCACGCCCTCTTTATCGGCGAGCCTTTGCAGGATATCGCCCTGTTGTCTGACCATCAACTTCAGAGCTGCCAACCTGTTAGGTATGATAACAATATAATAATTTGTATTAATCGTAAGGACAGCTAATCAGGGGTAATTATTCCCAAATAAGTCTATCATTTAGATCCTTTAACTACACGACAATGCGTTTGCACCCCAACTTCGTCCACACGATAGATCGCGGCGCCTGATTCTACAACATTGTACAGTTACATTTCAGTTTAAAGGCACACTGTACTACTTGTAGCTACTTGCTCCCTCTATATAGCAAACGATGCCTAATCGGTGCCTGTTGGTCCCCCGTGATCCTCTTTTTTTATTTAATTGAGAGCTGATTTGATGAGATAACCACCTGCAGTGACCTTGGAAGGAGGTCTAATCCTCCCTGGCCAAACGAGTACAGATGGGCTTTAAACTGAAACTACATTTCAGTAGAGCAGTGCACGTGTATTAGTTCACTCACGTGAATTTCTGTCTCTGTAGTTCCTCCAGCACGTGTTCTGCATTCCTGGGTTCAGATTTGTCATCCAGTTCGATCAGCGCCTCATCCTCGGGTGGGAAGAACTGGTAAACGATTAAATGAAAGGAGAATACAGACAGTCAATAATGAGCATTCATTTTTAATTTTTTTTTGGCCCACGAAAAATTAAAAATTGCACCCCCCCCCCCCCTTGAGCACCAGGGGTGGGGGCCTATCTCCAAAAAAAGGTAAAATTAACGTATTTTTACACGTTTTTTTCACTCAGAGGTAGGGGCCCGGGCCCCCCCCCCCCCCCGGATCCGCCACTGGGAGAAAGAGAGGGGATGGAGAAATGGAGAAAGGGAGTCTGCTTTTTCAACCTTTTTAGCGCTTAGAGACTTCGGTGGTAAGCGCTTTATAAGTAACGTTTTTATTATTATTATTATTAAAAAGAGAGAGAGAGACATAGACAGAAAGGGAAGAGGGGGCTACTTACCATTGAGGTGAACTTGCTTCGATAACGTTCCTTTTGAACTCTGACGATGTACTCGGACTGATAGAGAATCCTTTGAAGCCACAACGGACACTTGTTCTCCAGATGGTAGACGTAATCAGACTTCGATGGAAACATAATTACGTACAGAGAAAATAAACAAATAAACAGAAATATATCACAGATATGTACATCAGAATAATACACGTCCAAAAATAAAATAGTATAGTAACGAAATTGGATAAAATGGTAATCGTCTCAGTAAATAAAGTTAAGATAATATGTGTCGGCTTTTAATGATGATCCAGATTTAGATGGGTATACTAATGGGGTGGGGGGGGGGGGGTATCGAACAATTGTTTTGTTGTGGTTTTGAGGTTGTTATCTTAATGGTTTCAATAGTGAAACTCAACAAGAAGTCAACTTTATAGGCTTATATTGAATTTGCTTTCAAGTTCATCAATCAATGTTTCAATGGATAAAAGAAAACATGCAAATAAAGAAAGACAATTAACGCTTCCAAAAGTTATTTATTTATTTTGAATCAAACACCAAGAGGACAATAATTAAACAATTTTGGCGGATAATCATTGAAATTGGAACCTTGGGAAGCTAGGGAAGACTAAATAATACATTTGTTTTATTGCATAGCCGTTGCAGAAGCGGATACATATCCATGTCATTCAATCGAGATTAATTTTTACCTGAACACCATTTCTTTTGATGAACGCCTTCTTTCGGATTCCTTCAATATCTCCGACGGCAATACCGATCTAATGCAATATGTGATAGATAATCATGGTTAATAATTACGATAAGCATGTCTATCATGAAATCACGCCTTGCCCTCAGTGCGTCTGAAATGATTTTGCAGGGTTAAGGTTCAATAATGAATCTTTGAAGCAAACTTCATCAAACTTTTGGCGCTTAAGCCGGACAGACTTTGACAACGATGTACGTGTCAACAAAATACAGCACATTTCTAATGTCAAATGTTCTTTTGAATTCAATTTGTTTCTAAACAATAACTATGAACAGTCGGCCTTCTATCGAATTCAAACTAATGAGAAAATATTTCCTTGCATCAATTGCAGACGTAGAAATGCGTCATCGACACTGTGGTCTTTCAGTGGCGCAAGAGTTACATCGTCCGCAACGTGAATATAATATAATTATCAGTGAGAACACTGCGTTGAATTAATGGCGCACAGGCGCGTACGCAGGATTTTTTCAAGGGGGGGGGGGGGGGTTAACATTTATAAATCGGTCCGAAAATTTCGCAACGATTCAGCCAGCCGCTGAATAAGCGGGGGGGGGGGGGGGGTAAGAGGACACTTTTTTTTTTTGGTCTCAAAATTTGGAAATTTGACATTTTGCTCAGTTGGGGTGGGGGGGTAAGGTCACCTTTTTTAGGTCGGAAAAAAAAATCAAAAGGGGGGGGGGGTTAGGTTTTTTAGGGGGGTTTACATGCATAAAATTACCAAAGGGGGGGGGGTTACCCCCCCCCCCCCACCTGCGTACGTGCCTGATGGCGCATGTATTGGCTTCATAGGTCACGCTTTGCCTATTATTGTTATCAGATACGGTTGCTTTATACATATCATTTGATATGTACTATAACTTTGAAGACATACCGTGAGGTTGTTAAGAACCATCGGCATTAAGAAGACGAAAACCAGAAAGACAATGTATGCCGTCACTGTGTACGGTGTCAGATCGGTCTCTTCGTTGAATATGTCGTCCTTGTTCATCTCGCCCAGCATCATCGTCAGCACACTCATGAAAGCTAGATCTGCTGAAGAAAATCGGTACTGGGGGGTTCCATGGCAACGGGAAGGGGCAACAAGGAGAATAATGTAATAATGATTATTAAAATGGGGGAAAAAGACACTAATGATTATAATTATAATAATACAATAACAACAACAACAGTAATAATGATGATAACAACAATAATACAACTAATAATAATTTAATAATAATAACAACAACAACAACAACAACAACAACAACAACCTCTTTAAATTTCATTTAACGATTTTGCGTGAACATGCAATTTCACCAAATGGGCTGTTGACTTCGAATGATGAACGATTCCGAAATTACAAGGAGATCATCATATTTTGCCTGAACATAAGGTGACGATTGCCCCAATATTGACAGTTTCACTTTGAGGATACCCCTAGACTAACACATCGTACCCCAATTCTAATGAAGTATGGATAGCTTGTTTTTAATCATTTACAATTTTCTCAAACTGTTTTGTCTTCATAGATGATTCATCTGCTCTTCAAAAAGCACACGTGTTTCTCTTTTTGTTTGTATACAACTATTTTCTAAATCATTTGTCATTTATGTCTGACATAATAATGCCCCTCACTGATCATATCTCATTAATAAAGCAATTTTAGTTTTAGTATTGAAATTGTAAGTCAAACAACATTTCGATAGAATAGACTTTCGGAAATACATTCCGATCTTCGGCGTGTTCTCTCTCTCTACCTCTCTCTCTCTCCTTCCCCATCTCTCTCTCTCTCTCTCTCTCTCTCTCCCTCCCTCTCTCTCTCTCTCTCTCCCTCTCTCTCTTAGTAACTCGCTCTCTATCCCTCCCTCCCCTCTCGTTCTCCCCCTCCCTCTCTGTATCTCTCCCTCCCTCCCTCCCTCCCCCTCTCTGTCTCCCTGTCTCTATCAGTACCCCCCCCCCCCAAGGCCAAACCCCTCAGACGCTTTGCGCCAATATTGGTTCGAAACCCGAAATACCTGTTGACTGAAGACCATTCTAAATGTGGCGGAAAAAGCGATGACGAACATGACGAAAATAGTCATAGCCTGTAAGCAAAATAAGAAATCAAATCAAACGTCGGACCCAGATATTGAATCAATCTAACTATATCACTATCATTTCAATACGTCTCATTTGAAAGGATTATTATGTAAATTTCTATTATTCCATCTGTCTTTAAAATTACTGTTTGAGCAAACAAGATTGGGCAAGAGGGTTTATCGTTTTGTGCGACAGGGAAGGAATCTAATTGCCCTTCTCGGTTTTCGGAGTGCTTTATAACGGCACCTTGACGGACCATAAAAATGCCATAGTCATATAATAAAATATAAAATCTGTACATAAATGTGCGGGTTGGGACACCAAAGCCTCACCCTGCCCCACCCTACAAAAAGAGCAACAAATCCAATGTGCGTCTTTAGAAATTTCTCTCTTTTGTTTGATTGTTATTTTTCCACTTTTCTGTATCCATGTATATAGTAGGTCTATATGTGACTAGCCTGTCCCACAATCGTGCAATGACCATATTAATCACTAATTCCAAATACATGTAATGAAATAGAGTCATATAATCGCCAGATCGAAATATTCTACTCATTATAGAGTTTACAACGTCATGGAAATTCATGCAAGGTTATAATAATAACACAATCTTTCTTCTCTCCGTTTGGAAGTTAGCATTGGACCTACCTTCAGTAAAGATATCAGAGTTTCGATGAACATCAGGACATAAAGTCCAGTGGTCTTGTACCTGAGAGAGAAAAGAGAGTATACAAAATATACCTTCGTACCAACCAAGCTGCTTTCCATGAACATTAATGAATATACAGTAGGCTTGTGGGTGCACCATGTGAGAGAGAGGGAGGATTAAGGAGTCCTGAAAAGTACTCTCGGTAATCTTTCTTGAGGGGGGGTGTAGTCCCGAAAATTATGATTGCATTTTACCCCAGTCCCCCACATAAAAAAAATCCTCTGTACGGCCATGCATTATGGCTCAAGACATGGGCACACAGAAGATTTTTTTCTGTTGGGGCCGGGGGGAAATTCAATGAATTATTGATAATTATGGCATTTTCTTTGTTTTTTAAATTATTTGTGGGAACTGCCTCCTACCCTAGCCCCTGCTGCGTACAGTCATGGTTCAGTGGCAAAGCAATGGCCTCGTAACTGTGAGGCCCCATGATCAAAACCGTGTCGATGTGCTATATTAGTGCACTTTTGTGGGGTATTAATCCTCATTACTGTCATTTATGACATAAGGGCATAGGTCCCCTAGTTGATAAGCATAGTATCATGCACATGCTTAATCAGTCACACACAAAAAAACACTGGCAAATTATTATTCAATAAAATTTGAGAATGTATACTATTATCTGGATCGATTAGGAATAAATCATTGTCAAATAATTCCATAAAATGGGGTAAAAAAAACTTTATGAGCAACAGTGTATGTTGCTTTGTATCTTGTACCAAGTTAAGAAAGAAACAAAAAATTGATGTCATTGCTGGAAGTGTAAGCACCATCATGACGATGTAGAGGTATATAAAAGTTTTTGCTCAGTACGCCACTGATCATACTACACAAGACATATACGTTGAGACATTATATTGGCATTTGACATTAATAGAATATATAATGATAATAACAATAATGACAATTACAGTCGTAGTTATAGTAATAATAATATTAATGATAATAATGATAAGAATGATAATGATAATAATAATGACCATAATAAAAATAATGATACTATTACTTCTACTGCTGCTACTTTTATTACTACTAATAATGATAATGATCATAATAATGATAATAATTATATCAATAATAAGGAACTAAATAAGAAGTTCCTAGAATAATGGTTGAAACAACATCACAAAGCAAAAAAAAACGAAATAAATCTCGTTCATTATTCCTACCCTCTAAAGTACATGATGAACTTCATCCACGACAAGAAAATGGCGACGATACCGGCATTCCAGTTTTGGAAGCAAGGCACTCGGCCGGGAGGCAAAACATACATTATTGCGGTTGTTAGCGTCGCCCAGTCCACGAGGTTAGTCAGTTCGGTGAAATACTTCAAACGCTGTAATACAAGAGATACAGACATTTCAGTAAACTCATGCACTTTAATTACAAACTGCTTTATAAGTAAATCTTAGGTTGTCAGTTATGTCGATACATTAAGCATTTCCATGTTTCTTCTTTGCTGTAAAGTTTTTGCTGTGAGATTGGTACCAGCCCAGGGGGTCACTCCCAAGCACTGATCGCACAAAAATAAAAAAAAAGGGTACCTTTTCAGATTCACAGGTTCGGCGTCGTCTACGTTTTCCTTAAAAAGGGGTGTTTTTCAAGCACTGATCGCACAGGGTCATTTCAGAAAAAGTGCAATACGCCATTAGGGTCACTTTCTAATGTTGATGGACACGGGTGGGTAGCATTTGTGTGTGAGGGTGACCCCCCCCCCCCCCGTAGCAAGGAATTCTTTGAATGGTGTGAGCACTGAAATCGGTAGCCTAGCAGAGCACCTTGGGTGGTGGACAAGTGCGCCATAGAAATATCCAAGATCGTATTATCATTATCATCATCTTATTAATTTTGTTGTAAAAATTAAACAATTCATAAATTTATAGTGGTACAATATATATATATATATTTTTTTGCCTATTTAATTTGCCAACTTTTTGTTTTGTCATATGTACTGTACGTCGCTTTTCTGTCATATTGTTTGTGAGTTTTTGGTTTGTTTTTTATATATAAAATATCCAAAATATTTATTATTGTACTGGGGATTAGCCTCGACAGGCCCCTGGCCTTTGCTGGTCCCCCACATGTTTTTTTTTTTAATAAATATCTAAATATATTTAGTTGTTCTGTGTTTATGGACTTATATTTTGTTCGCTATTTGTTTCTCTTAATATTATCGTTTGTTAATGTTGTATTACTTTGCATTTGTCATATGTCTGTACATGTATGTATACTTGTTTTTTTTTTAACCACATGTGGAAATAAAACTTGAACTTGAACTTGAAAGGATAGATAGGAAGTTATACTGCAAACTTTGCACACACGAGTTATTGCATGTTGGACTCGTGACCAAATGTGACTTACTAGTGTGTACATTTCAGCAAGTTCTCCGAACACCATGGAACTGCAGTAGATGAGTATTGCGTAACCTAAATAGGCTGGTGCAGGGTCCGTGTACCACAAAGAATCCGTCTGTTTGAAATAATTGAAATAATCACCATGAATTGTCTTGTCTTGAGGTGGGAAGGGGAATGACCCATATATAAGGGGTAGGGTAGGGGTAGGGGTCCGGGTAGGGGTCCTACCCAGGTGGAAACAAAAACAGTTGGGGACCACTTGGGGGCAACTGGTACTGGTACCCGTTGATTCCAGTTAAGTGAACTGGTTTCAATATGGAAATTGGTATAGTGGAATCAACTGGAATCAACTGGTACTGGTATAATCAATAATCAATATTGCATGGCAATAGTATAGAGTCAATGGGTTTCAACTGGGATATACCGGTGCATGCGAAGTTTACCAGTTGTGTTAACTGGATTCAACTGGTACCAGTCAGTTGAATCCAGTTGAAACCAGTAAAATAAACTGTCACATATTTCAGTTGATACCAGTTGAAAAATCTAACTGGTTTCAACTGTTTTTTGACCTCCGGGATATCTATTTTAATTATCAATGATTTAACCCGTTCCCATTCTGCCTTCTCTATTTCTCTTTTACAGCATCTATACTATTGTTTTGTGGTTGTTGTTTTTTTTTGTCGGGAGGAGGGAGAGCAAGAGCCACCGAGCCCCCATAACTACGCCCAGGGGCGGATCCAGGATTTGCCGATAGGGGGGGGGGGGGGGGGGCCTAAAATGTGAAAATCGCGCCGACCAATATCTCGCTCAGTGGGGGGGTAGTGAGCATCATTTTTTGGGGTATATGACCCCGAAAATGTGAAAATCGAGCCTACCAATATCTCGCTCAGTGGGGGGGGGGGGGGGGGGGGGAGTATGCATCATTTATTTTTTGTATTTGACCCCGAAAACTTTTTTTTTTTTTTTATTAAAAAAAAAAAAAAAAAAAAAAGCCAGGGGGGGGCCGGGCCCGTCGGCCCCCCCCCCCCCGTGGATCCGCGCCTGACTACGTCAGGGATTCAGTCACTTACCTTCTCGCTATAGTAGAAAATGTCTCGCAGCTCTGGAAAGAGTGATACATTCATGGTTGGGCAGTGATTTAGTTTAGCGTCGACGTCGTTCCAATAAGCCGCTGGGGCGGCACAACGGCTACGCTGATGTATGCAGTAATGCTTGCCAAAAAGGCCACGTAGAACAACAGATCGATGTAGAAAAAGACCCGCGCGAAGCGATTCCTAAACAATCGAGCCAAAAGGAACGTTATGTTTTTTCTAATGTAATGAAATAAAGGCAACATTAATATGTTTTTTATGTAATAAAATAAAACCTTGGTTGAGAAGGGGTTTTGGGGAAACTTCCAAAGAAAAAAAAGACAAGTGCTCAAATAATCTTGATTTTTTTTTTTTTTTTAATTCGAAGTTGAAAAACTAGATGATGATGACAATGAAGAAACGAGGAGAAGAGGAATATGACAAGAAGAAGAAGGAGGAGGAGGAGGAGGAGACTGAGGAGACGATAAGACATATTTTAAAGAAAATGAATTAATAACTGCATGAAAAAGTAAGGAATGAAGGGTGTGATGAACTAGAGATAAAACAAATAAACAATTCATAATTTTGTCTATAAAACCTCTTTCAAATTATATCTAAAGCATACTTTTTAGGCTTCAATATAATATCAATAATAAATCTGAAATATGGAATTGTTTTATTTCTGGTACAACATAAAAGAAGGCTCAGATATATCATGCGGACAAAACTCTTACCATTTTCTTTTCAGGGCGCTTTGTGACAATTCATGGGCTAGAAGTCTTTCGCGTCCGTACTGACACATTGTCTGTCAAGTAAACAAAAAAATACGAGCATTAATTATATAGGCACCATACTACAAATGCAGAGAAAATGGCAGATGAATAGGAATAGTAAAAAGGTTGCCCCAATAATACTGAAATTGTTTATCTCATGGTAATTCCCATTAAGAAGAAGAAGAAGAAGAAGAAGAAGAAGAAGAAGAAGAAGAAGAAGAAGAAGAAGAAGAAGAAGAAGAAGAAGAAGAGGAAGAAGAGGAGGAGGAGGAGGAGGAGGAGGAGGAGGAAGAAGAAGAAGAAGAAGAAGAAGAGGAAGAAGAAGAAGAAAGAAGAAGAAGAAGAAGAAGAAGAAGAAGAAGAAGAAGAAGAAGAAGAAGAGGAGGAGGAGGAAGAAGAAGAAGAAGAAGAAGAAGAAGAAGAAGAAGAAGAGGAGGAGGAAGTAAATGAAGAAGAAGAAGAAGAAGAAGAAGAAGAAGAAGAAGAAGAAGATTGAAGAGAAGAAGAAGAAGAAGAAGAAGAAGAAGAAGAAGAAGAAGAGGAGGAGGAGGAAGTAAATGAAGAAGAAGAAGAAGAAGAAGAAGAAGAAGAAGAAGAGAGAAGAAGAAGAAGAAAAAGAAGAAGAAGAAGAAGAAGTGGAAGAAAAAGAAGAAGAAGAAGAAGAAGAAGAAGAAGAAGAAGAAGAAGAAGAAGAAGAAGAAGAAGAAGGGAGCAACAAGCAAACGTTGGCGCCACCCGGATCTAAACTTACCCTGACGGCGAAGTATCGATATCCGTTCGCTCTTGTCGATTCATCGTCTGGCCCGGGGTCAATGTATTGATATTCATACTTCACCTATTAAAGGTAATACAAAGTTTTGGTATGGGGTCATGAACTTGGTTCAAATGAACATAATGGAAGCATATACGATCCTACAATATTCAGTGATCGTTGTCGCGGTCGAAATTGACTCTCAAGTTATGAAATTGTAAATAGTACACATTTTATGTTGAATAGCTCCCTCTCAAGGTCAAGATATTAATTAAACTATAAAACAATGTTTATTGACTAAAATCGACCGATTAGATATTCTCGTTCGGAAATTATATACCACAACTACATACTCTGAGATTGTCATGATAGCAGCTACCATTATACGGACGTAGGAGCTATTTGAAATTCATCAACATTTACCGGGAGTACCGGTAAATCTTTATATTCCATTTTTCTCAAAAGCAGAAGTGTTTTAGGGGCTAAAATTTCTGGTGTTTTTAATACATCCACAGGGGCATCCAAATATATCAAAATTGTAAATAATCACTATCCACCCATTTTTCAAAATTTCCCAAAACTTTGTAATACCTTTAAGAAGAAATATGGTATTGTTATATCTTGACGACTTGTATACGTTGGGATAAAAGAGATGCGCATAAGCTGAATTTCGTAATAATATTTCAACTATCAATGGCATTTTTGCCTAAACTATATATTTTCATTTACTATTCAAAATGTTTTTGTTAATATGAACCCTGCCTCTCCCGTTCCAGGATGTGTAATGTCTGGTTAATAAAACAATTCTAGTAAACTGAATATCTCAATAATTGTTCAATCATTTATGCCACTGTGACATCTATTTTATGTGTGTTAATTATTAGTTTTGGTTGGTAATTTGTAGAAATGCTAGAGCGCCGCAATGGCAGCACAGCTAAAGCCGGGGTAATAATCTCCAAGTTTGGAAGCATCACTATATTTCGGTTGCGTTTATCTAGGAAATTTTTGGCTAGAATCAGGTTTCTCAAACGTCTTTCAGGCAAATTTAGAAGTAGATAAACGCAAAGCCTTTTTCAAACGTCTTTAGATATGGGCATATCTAAAGACGCAAAAAGGTGCGTTTTGAATGTGACATACAGCCAGAATCACGTTTCTGAGAGATCGATAAACGCAAAGCTGTTTTGAACCTCACATACAAATATGACCACCCAGGTGTTGTGTACAAGCATACGTGTGAAGTTGACCTCCGAGAAACTGTCTGCTTCCCGGGTCAAAACAGCTGGGCAGACACAAGGCCTTTATTTTGAATCGTGAAGGGTAGATAAACGCGACATCCCGCAAATCACGATCGTATAGTGGGGTACGATAGTGGGGTTCGATAGTGGGGTACGATATGTACATATCTAGTGGCAAGCCTAGATAAACGCGCTCTATTCGAATAAGCGCTATATAAAAACTGAGTATTGTTATTATTATTATTAGACAGACAACGGTGCCCTTAGAAACAACCATATTAAGCGCATAATGAATGTTGTGTATTATTATTTTTATTATGTTAAAGATACTCTACTCATCTTTTTTCATCTCAAAACAAAACTAAACTGAACTAAACTGTGAAACGAGAATATAATTGCTTTCTTATGAAAAAGGTAATCTATAAAATGCAGACTAAAACACACAATAAGGAAGATCTTTGAAGAAGCTTTTGCTTGAATTTATGTACGTATTCAATATTTATTACCATCTGCAAATACTTCTGATTTAAATTGCATGTGCTTACGTCATAGGATGTAGTATGTTGATCTGTGTATGTCTTGTGAACGCATCGGTCCATGACGAGGAGGGCGACGTCGGGGAGCTTTTCGATGAGGGCCTTCATGGGCGAGATCATAAAGTCATCCTTACTCTGCATGGCAATTCTCCAGCTAAACAAGGAGTTGAAATTATGTGAACAAGTAATAAAGATGTATTAATATTTTCTTTAAAAATAAACGTTGTATTTAATTGAATTAAGTAAAGAAATTGCTTTAATTCATGCATTTAGACTGTTTGGAGCCGAAAGGGCGTTAACTTTGTCTAAAAAGTATAAAGAGTTATTGCCCTTCTGGCTCAAAACAGACGTTTAGGGAGAAAAATAATGCAATTTATGTAGACTTTCAGAAAAATCATGTGTATATTATTGACATAAAACAACATTACTGTGTGAATTTTGATTAATTAACTCGAGTGCATAACGTGAATTAACAACTCCCGATGACCCTCTAACGTTTTGAAGGGGGGGGGGGGCAGTCCCCGAAATATAAAGATTTATTTCAGGGCCCTGTCATGCGCATCTTTTTCTTTCGAAATGAGGCGGCCATTACCTGGCCATTACGCCCCTGGATGATTACCTAAGTTTATGCATAATCATCCTCCTCTGTTCTTTTGATAATAGCTGCAGCAATTCCTCCCTTTAAGTTGTAAAAACTTACTCTTTGCTCTTGATGATAGCTGCGGCTATCTCGCCGTGGTCACCGTCAATGGCTAGCTCTAGAGGAGTGAACCCTTCGTTGTTTGAGGCAGACTGGTCGGCTCCGGCACGGATCAACAGGTTGGCTGGTCCGATGTGCCCCGCATCAATGCACAGATGAAGGGCCGAGTTCTGCAGGTGTGAGGTTTAAAGGTCTCTTTTCCATGAACTGTGCCTTAAAACCCCACTGCACTAGTTTGCAGGAGGGACTAGACCTCCCTGCATGGTCACTGACAGGCGGGTATCTCATTAAATAAGCTCTCAATTAAGATAAGAAAAAGGGGATCATGGGGACCTTATATTTAAAAAAAAGATGTTGTATTGCCCTTTGCGACCGACCCAAAAATCTTGAAATCTACGGTCAGGTTTTAATTTATTTTTTTTTAAACCGTTTTTTAGAAGTAAAAAATGTTTGATAAATTAAAAAAATTATCTATTTAAGCATTCAAAACTGAGAAATCTTAGCCAAAGAGGGAGAAAAAAAAAGAAGAAAAAAAAAAATCCGACCGACCGACCCATGTTTTGGCACCTAAAGGGCAACGCAACATTTTTGTTTAGGCCTAATGACACTTTTCTATTTGTTTTGCAGAGAGGGGGAAGCAGTATCTAATCGTCCCCGGGTTTTTAACTCATTTGTCACTGAGGATGTGTGTGATAGTTCGTCGTCACCACCATAGCCGTTTTTGTTAAATGGTTGCTCTAAGAATTGTGTCAATAGATGTATGCTTCACTGTTAGAACGGTGTTTAAAATATCACTGTTTAAAAGAATGTTGTTTAAAAAAGTAAACAACGTTGTTCAAAATCGAAAAATCAGTGCTCGATTGACTTAAACAACTATGTATTAAAAGACAAAAATATTTAATTAAACAGAGTTGTTTAAAAAGTCCCGGGGGCGTCGTCGATATTTTCTCAACGCGATTGCAATTTGCGCACACACATGCGATTTGCACAAAGTACGTACATAATACATGCATGCAAGCATGCAGTGCAAGTGCATACGAAAATGGCGGAACAAGGGCAAGGCGACGACTTGGTTCTTCTCGGCTTCGCCGATGGGGTTTAGGTGAAGTTATAGAGACAAATAATAATGTTGTCTGTCACTGCCATGAATATGATGAACAAATGTTGAAGTAAATTGGCAACAAGCTCTGCATGTTACAGTGTATACATCGTTGTGATTATTGCAGGAGTGGTTCCAGCGCCCCCCCCCCCCCCCCCACTCAGGTTTCGAAATGACCGCATGCGTGTTGCCAAAATGTCCGGTAAAGGGGTACTTTTCGTGCGACAAAGTCCGGCCCGAGAATTGTTAAAAAAAGGGGTGTATTTGACTTTTCACCCGGAGATTTCTTTAAAAAGGGGGTGTTTTTTCTTTTTTTCTCTCATCTCTTTGGACTCCTGAGAAATTATTCCGAATTTAGGGGGGTACATTGAGCATTTTTCCTGATTTAGGGGGGTCTCCAAGGCAGGAAAAGCCCGCGAAAAGCCCGCGAAAGGGGGGTTCGGAAATGTTGGCAGTCCTCAGATAGGGGGTGCTTTCAAAAAGAGGGAACGAGCATATGCGTACCCTAAATAACACTGAGTGGGGGGGGGGGGGGGGGCCGGGGGTTCCAGTAGGTCATTTCACAAATTCAAACAACCAGATAATAACCATTAAACAGTTCTGTTTAAAATTTAAGCAACTCCTTTTAAACAACCCAGTTGTGCATTAAAACTGAATAAACAACAGTTGCTTATTAATTTAAACATTATTGTTTAAAATTTAAACAACTTGCTTTAAACAACCGAGTTGTGCAGTTTTATTACTAAACAACTGTTGTTTAAAAGGTTTCCTAATTTTTAAACAACTAAGTGTTCAAAATGTAAACAACCTTAATTTGTTTAATTTTTAAACAACGTTGAGCGATTCACCGGTTAACTCGGGGTTGTTTAAAATTTTAAACAACTTGTTTAATTTTTTTCTAACAGTGTTGAGAAAAGTATGAGATTGTACCTTATTCTTGTCTAAGGCGTGGATATCGCAGTTGTTTTCAATGAGGATGCTCATTGTTTCCACGTGGTTATTCATTGCTGCCAGCATCAACGCCGACCGGTGGAAGTCATTGCTGAAATGAATCATAACAAAATCAATGAATAACGGTAAATAAGCTAGATTTGTTTCAAGTCCTCACATTACGATGTTAAAGATAAACTTGAGTTCTGGTTAAAAAAAGAAAAGGAATTCTCACAGAATCTAACGAAACTTACACTGAATGTTCGAGATTACAAATAAATGTCATGTGCCAAACAATTTTGGAAGAAAATGTATGCTGGCTGAGTAATGAGCATAGAAAGATAAAGAAATCAAGTAGTACTAGCACCGACACCATTTGTATTGTCCCATATACATCTTTCTACTTTTTGTATGGTGTGCTTGTTACTTATCAAGACTGAGCCAAATTTGTTATGAATTTGATGACTCCAGAACCTTGCAGTACACACCAATACTTACATGCATAATTACATGATCAACTTTTTCTGATGCATTCCACACCTTTTCTTTCACAATGCAATCGCGTTACCAGAACTCACCTTTATCTTTAATATTGAAATAGTTGGTAAAAATAAAAACTTGGATACAGCTTGAGAGGCTTACCGAGGAAGAGCTACTCTGAAATAATCTTTTAATCCGATCTCATGGCGATAAAACAAATTTTGCAATTAGTCATCTATAGTAGATGTCAAACTATTGGAAACTGTTTTTCTCGTCCTGATAGTATTAAATCATGACAAAATGATGAAGGGGAAAAAAAAATCGATTATGAATGTTTGCGACATTCATTCAGCACAGGCTATTGTATCGCTGATTCGCTGCTTGTGGCTAAAGGCGGTCATGGTGTGCCAATTCGACGTCATTTTAATGATTCTTCCTTTCAGTTTGATTCTGTAGACATACATAGAAATTTTCCACATTTCAAGTTTTTATGTAATTAATAAGAACCCATTATCACATTTTTTCTGTATTCCAAATCACGTACCTTGTAGAACAAAATTTACTTTAAGTTTTAATAAGTAGTTGACTTATCGATTGTAGATATCATTTATTCGGTGTAGAAAGCATCATCAGCATAACGCAGAGACTAATTGGTCTATATAATCACATTTAATACTTTCATTAATAAGGTATCTATTGTCATTCCTATAACAACTTAAAGGGAGTGTAGCCTGACGTGACTACGTGTCTTTCCCGTGGCCTGACTCGGGGACAATCGGCGTGTAATATACGCGAAACCGAAGCGTGAGGAGAACTTCGGTCTGTTTCGCGAACGCTGACCATGTTAGAGATTAAGTCGCTGACTACAGTTGTCCAAAAAAGACGTAGATGTCGTTAACCAGTATTTGCCAAGCCACACTCCCTTTAACATTGTTACCATATAGATGATAGATGTTATCCCTTACACACTCGTGATGTCTGCTCCGATCTTGAGGAGAGTCTTGACGAGATCACGGTGGCCATGGTAACAGGCTGTGAGTAACGGTGTCATCCCATCCTGGTCTTCATCATTCAGGAGCAATGGGGTCTGGCGGAGAAGCTCCTCGACACATGTTACATAACCAGCTCTGAAATGGGACAATATATATGATAACAGACATGTGAGGTTATACAAGTGCTATGAATATCCGTCATCATCATTTTCGTCGTAGTCCTCGAAATCATCATTATCGTCACCATCATCATCATCATCATCATCATCGTAATATAAATTATATCTGTAAAGCGCTTTGAGAGGGCCTGCGGTCCTGGAAAGCGCTCTATAACTATTATTATTATTATCATCATCATCATTATCATCATCATCATCACCAACATCTCTATCACCATTTTCGGTACCATTATGAATATAGGCCTAGTGTCGGCAGAGACGGACTTACTGAGCTGCGACATGGACTGGGGTCTTCTCTGACACATCCTTCACTTCACCTTTGACCTCGTATTGGATCATCTTTTTGATCATCTGAACATTTAAGAAAATGATATCAATCAACGTTAATGATTAATGCAAATCATTTAGCAGAAATTTTAGAATTGCTCAAGTCAATTTAAAATAGCTGGTATAAAAAAGCGGAATATTATATTTGTTTTTCTTCTTTTCTTTCTATTTGTCAGTGATGTTTTACCCATTTAATTATTATATTATTGTTATTGTTTTTGTTGATCATGCTGTTGTTATTATTAGGTTGTGTTGTTGTTGCTTTGTTGTCTTGAAGATAGTATTAGATTAAGTCACTGCCCTAAAAAAAAACTGCCTAAAAAAACCTAATGCGGCTATGTTTAACAAAAATAGTATTTTGTGATAAGCGCCGTAGGTTCTGGCTATAAAGAGCGAGCTTTCGTCAATTTTAGCCAAAGTTAAGGCCTACCTCAACATTTCCTGCCTCTGCCGCGTAATGCAAAACCGTCTGCTCATAAATATCTCGAATTTCTAACAAACTGTAGCCGCCGTTTTTCAGCAGGAACTCTACGAAACTCAGATGGTCCATCTCTGCTGCCCAGTGTAACGGAGACTTGTGGTGTATGTCGGAGACTGTGTGGAGGGAACACATCGTCAGTGTGATGTATAGGAAATGATATTGCATAATGTGGAAACGCCCTAAACCCAGAAACAGTCGATGGAATCAAAGTTGTCGCTATATACGGTGTATGATATGGGGGCGCGATCCACAAATTAAACATGTCAGGCATAAAAATAATGTCAAAGTGGTGTCGACAAAACTGAAAGCAAAATAACATCCTCTTTGCTCGTTGGAAATTTCTGCAAACTTGTCGAAAAAAACTTTAGTCCAGTATCTCCATTATAAAATGTCTACAGACCCTTGGTGCACATGCATTCTACGTTATTCATTTCCATATTTTACGGAGTATATGAACAGTTTGAAAAACACACTAGTACAACCTGAATGCTTCTTGCAACTTGACTTATGCAAGGTACGTTTCTCATGTTGTGTCATGATTTCATTCTAAAGTGGTTGTGATTCGTACAAGAAGACACATGAGATTCATTAAAACATGGGAGACCAATATGACAAACATTTGGGATTTTTAGATATTAAAAAGATAAAAACTAGGAATATCATTCTCGGCTCACCAAACATGTCAGCTCCTCGGGTTAGTAACAGCTCACCGGCCGGAGTATGGCCCTTCCAAGCAGCGCAGAGAAGGGGCGTAAAACCACTGTTGTCGATCTCGTTGATCAAACACCCTTCATGAATTAGCAAGGCGATGGTCTCGACTTGGTTGTATAAGGTGGCTCTGTTTCAATTAATCAAAAAATATATAACTATGCATATATTGCTGGACAGGAAAAACATAGGCAGATGACATTGGTGTCGATCTAAACTGCTGAAGGTATAGTCGTTGTCAGCATCAAGTAATGTTTGTGTTGTTATTGGCGCCACGCCGACTTTTTGTAAATAATCATTTCTAAAATGTTATGATAGTACTTCTGGATTTTACATGGACCTATACTGATATTAAGAGATCAAATTAAAGCAATTTCTGTAAGATCATTACCTTATATACCACGTAGCCATGTGTGCCCCTCTCCCCATATCTGACGGAGAGAAAATCCTAACCGACGCCCCATCCCTGTAAACACTGCAGCCACTATACCTTGCAATGTGGCGCACAGCCAGTGAATTGACATTTGCTCCTGCGACAATTGCTTCGGGCTTTATTTATTTCGTTAAAGTTAATAGGGTTGCTTTTGGGTTTTAGGTTAGGTTTAGGGTACGCGGTACGGGATAGGGTTAGGTATATTCTTGGGTCCACGGTTGCGGTTAAAGTGTCAGTTAGTGTATAGGAATGTGACTGGGAGCAATTGTCGCAAGAGCAAGTCACGGTGTCACACAATAGACCGGTTTACCCACAAATTCAATTTTTATTGCATACTTTTTAAACAAAGGTCGTTCTTGATATAATCCTGAAAGCTTGCAAGAGGTTTGCCCGACATAGCATCAAGCACTAGCAGGCGCGGATCCAGGGGGCCGAGCGGGCCTTGCCCCCCCCCCCCCCCGCAAAAAAAAAGGAGAGAGAAGGAAAGAAGGGAAAGGGAAAGGGAAAGAGGAGAGAAAGGGGAAAAAAGAAGAAGAAGAAGAAGAAAAGAAAAAAGGGAAGAAGGAGATCGGGGGGGGGGGGAGGAAGAAAGGAAAGGGAAAGAAAAAACGAAAAAGAGGAGATAAAGGGAAGGACAAAAGAAGAAGAAGAAAAGAAAAGAAGGGGGATATAAGTTGCAATTTCCCGCCAACTAGTTGTGGATCGGGGGGAGGCCCTAGCCTCCCCCCCCCCCCCCCCCCCCCCCCGTCCCCGCTAAAAAAAAGAGAGAAGGAAGGAAAAGGAAAAGAGGAGAGCTAAAAGGGAACAAAAAAGAGAGAAAGAAAAAAAATAAAAGGAGAAATGAAGCGGAGATCAGTTGCGGTTAATCCCGCCAACAATGTGTGGAGCGGGGTGGGGACCAAAATGACCTTGCCCCCCCCCCCCCCCCCCCCCAGCAAACCTAAAAGAGAGATAAGGAAGGGAAGGGAAAGGGGAAGAGGAGAAAAAGGGAAAGAAAAAAAAGAGAATGAAGAAAAGTAAGGGATATCAGTTGCAATTTCCCGCCAACAAGGTGTAGATCGAGAGGGGGGGGGGGGGGCCACTGGCGTACTGATAGGAAGGGGGGGGGGGCTTTGGAGAAATAGAATTCAAACGTGGTTTATTTCTAATTCCATAACGGTAGTTTACAAATAATGCTGAAATGAGATAATTTTCCGAGATTTTTCCTCACTTTATGCGTTTGTTGGAAAATGACAAATTCCTAAATTTACAGCCAGGCAAGAAAATGCTTCCTGAGATGCCTACATATCAGGGCCCGCGGAACGGCGGGGATCGGGATCCTCGAGCCCCCCCCCCCCCCCAACACTTTCTTTGAAAAAGTATATTAAAGAGAAATAGAAAGAAAGAGAGCGAGAAAGAAAAAAATAGTCAACTGCCAGTGTCACATACAGAATATTGGTCACATTATAATGGGGTATCAAAATATACTCATCTGACCATGATTAAATGCCTAAAACCCCAAGGGCTCTGCCCCTGGATTCCACCTAGGGCCCTAAGGCGGGCCCTTAGATTCTCAACTGACGGTCATTTAATGCCTAAAACCCTTGATTTCTGGGGGCTCTGCCCCCTGGACCCCACGCCAAATAGTGTCCTGCCAGTGTCACAAATAATAAGGTATCAAAAATGCTCATCTGACCGTAATTAAACGCCTAAAACCCCTGAGCTTCCGTGGGCTCTGCCCCCTGGACCCAACCAAGAGCCCTTAGGCGGGCCCCTTGATACTCATCTGACCGTAATTGAGTGCCTAAAACCCTTGAGATTCCGGGGCTCCGCCCCCTGAACCCCAAGCCAATTAGTGACCTGCCACTGTAACAATTAGGTATCAAAAAAATGCTCATCTGACCGTAATTAAATGCCTAAAACTCCTGAACTTCGGGGGCTCTGCCCCCTGGACCCCGCCTAGTGCCCTAAGGCGGACCCCTGAATGCTAATCTGACCGTAAATTAAAAGCTTAAACCCCTGAGCTTCCGGGGCGGACAAAGTATCAACATAATTATGTTGCGTAGCCAGGGGGGCGGTGGGGTGGTCCCCCCAATAAACGCCGGCCAAAAAAAGAGAGGAGTGAAAAGGAAGAGAACTTAGGAAGAAAGGGGAGTAGACAAAGAACATTTTTGAAATTCAGACAAGGATTAAGAGTCGAGACGGTACAACGAATCGTCTTCATTCTCTAATGAATTAATGAAACGTCAAAGCTTCCGCGCTTCGCGCGGGGAGGGGAGGGGGAACTGAATTCAGACGAGAATAATTTTGAAGAACGGTACAACGAATCGTCTTCTTTCTCTAATGATTTAATGAAACGTAAAAGCTTCCGCGCTTCGCGCGGGAGGGGGGGAAACTGAAATCAGACGAGGATTAAAAATCATAACGGTACAACGAATCGTCTTTTTTCGCTAATGATTTAATGAAACGTGAAAGCTTCCGTGCCTCGCGCGAGAGGGGGAAACTAATTTTTTTTCGAGAGCGGTACAACAAATCTTCTTCTTTCTCTAATAATTTAATGAAACGTCGAAGCTTCGAAACTGAAATTAGACGAGGATTAAAAGTCATAACGGTACAACGAATCGTCTTTTTTCGCTAATGATTTAATGAAACGTAAAAGCTTGGGGAAAAACTGAATTTAGAAGAAGATTAAGAGTCGTTAACGACACAACGAATCGTCTTCTTTCTCTAATAATTTAATGAAACGTCGAAGCTTCCGCGCTTTGCGCAGTGGGGGGGGGGGGGGGAGGGGAGGGGGAAACTGAATTTAGACAAGGATTAAGAGTCGAGAACGGTACAACGAATCGTCTTCATTCTCTAATGATTTAATGAAACGTAAAAGCTTTCGCGCTTCTCGCGGGATGGGGGGGAAACATAATTCAGACGAGGATTATTTTTGGGAATGGTACAACGAATCGTCTTCTTTCTCTAATAATTTATTGAAATGTCAAAGCTTCCGCGCTTCGCGGAGGAGGGAGGGGAAAAACTCGCTCCTCCCTGCACCCACCCACCCCTAATTACGTCACTGCTGGTCACCATTACGTACCAATATTTGGCTCGCATAATTTCAAATTTGGGCCTCCCCCCCCCCCCCCCCCTAAGAAATCCTGGATCCGCACCTGAGCACAAGTCACTAGATCACTAGATCCCCAGGAAAGAACATACATGAATTCAAATTGCACAGCCTATATTCCCAAACTATCGACCAACTTCAATTAAAGGTTTATAATGTTGACAAATGAATATTATATTAATCTGCGTATTTTTAGTGTGCATTTGTGCCAATGAAACGATAAATCTACATCATAGAAGCGACATGATGGTGACATCCTTCATACGATAATTAATCATTTTGAGAGACTGACCTATGAAGAGGTGTCATGCCTTCATCGTCCTTCATGTCAATGTCGGCCCCGTTCTGAATCAAATATAAAGCTACAGCAGTAGATCCGTTGGTGGCTGCGATGTGAAGGGGGCCCATGCCGTTCTTCTTCACGAGATTCGCGTTCATGCGATAACCCAGCAAACGTTCAATCACCTGTAAGATTGTATTACACATTTTACTTATTTTACTTTGATTCTTCTTTTACTTTTCATGTATCATATATTGCTGTTGTTGTTTTTGTTTACTTTCATGTCGTTACTATTTTTTTATCAAGTTTTTTTTGTTGTTGTTGTTTGTTTAACAGTATGGCTCCCTTGTAAAGCAGCCCCTTCCCCTCCCCCTCCCACCCATGAGGCTACAATGTCTTTATATAGAAAACTTATAGAAAATAACGAATATACAACCAATGACATAACAGACGATATAAATCTAATGATTATTGACTGAACGTGCAGATAAAATCTTAGTTGTCTTTGCAACTTCGTAATGCATACAAAGGTATCTTGGTATACTAAAGAAATAACTCGTACGTCTATTTGCAGTTCGTGTACTGTAAAATTTACGTCGTTCCTTATTTCTGATGGGAAGGGGTATAGGATAAAGTTAGAATAAACCTCATGGAAATAAAAAGGTATACATCACTCACATCACTGATGATATTATAGCCTTTCCGAATCCCTCCTAGAAAGCAGCTATGATGGATGAAATGTTTTTTCATTTATTTTAAACAAAAGAGGAAGAATTGCGACAGGGCCTTCACGAATCTATGTTGAATCTTACCTCCGTCCGTCGTTTAGAGACAGCGAGATGCAGACATGTATTACCATCATTGTCTTCATTATTGATGTACTCTTCGATATTTAGGCCAGTCTGATGAGCTGGGAGAGAGAGGGGGAGGTGGAGGTGGAGAGAGAGGGGGGGGGTAGAGAGAGAGAGAGCGAGAGGTGGAGAGAGGAGAGAGGGAGGGAGAAAGATAGAGAGAGAGAGAGAGAGAGAGAGAGAGAGGGGGGAGGAAGAAGGGGTTACAGAGATATCAGAGAGAGAGAGAGAGAGGAGAGAGGAGAAAGAAAGGAGAGAGAGGGGAAAAAGAGAGAGGAGAGGAGAAAGAGAGAGAGAAAGACAGAGAGAGAGGAGAGACAGAGAGAGAGAGAAAGAGGGGGGGAAAAAGAGAGAGAGAGAGAGAGAGAGAATCGTTAAAATTGAACGGTATATTCATCGTCGTCGCCATCTCCATCACGCAACCTCCCTATATACTCCCATCATCACAAATACTGAATCCAATGACCGGGGTAATAGTATTTTGTAAAGCGCTTAGAGACATTTGTATGAAGCGCTATATAAAAGCTAAATATTATTATTATTATTATTATTATTAAACACATACCTCTCTCGAGAAACATGTCCACCAAAGCGGCATGTCCACTCACAACAGCCCTCATCAACGGTGTCATGTTATTCACATCTTTCGCTTTGATGTCGGCTCCTTGGTGGACCTAAGAACATAAACAAGAAAACTAAGATTAATTCAGTCTAATCGTACACACATTTCTAAAAAGAAATAATTTTAGAATATTGAAATGTTATACACACATGTAGACAGAAATTAACGTCTGGTATGGGTCATTCTTTAATTTAAAAAAAAAAGAAATTTGTCAACATTCCCCATGAAAGGAGCCAAATGTAATCATGGTAATCTTAGCAGAACAACCGTCGATATCAGAGACTGAAGCTTTCTGTTTAACATACATGCAGTTATTTTTTCCCGCCTAAAGGTTTCCCTCTCAACAAATTATCTGATCTATCCTTTTTTTGCACTCTTTCAATCGCTTCAGGGGTCTTCTGACAACTTGGAGGGTTCACTATATAGACCGACATCCAAAGAGTCCGACAGCCCATGTGACGGACATCGCCGATCTCGTAGGCCTTCTAGAGTCTAGACAATTTTCAAAAGGTTCGCCAGACCTCAGGCCCACGATCCCGACATCATCCTCCCTTACATATAAAATGTCCTTTCTTAGATTTAAATTGCATCATTATCATTATTTATTGATGATTATGGTGCCTATACAAATTAAAACGTGATGAAAATATTAAGACACCCAGAATGTTTTAGATTTTTTAAAATATGAGACATAGCATAGAAATATAATATATTCAAGGACAATTACCCCGTAAAATTACCTCCAAGACAACCGTCCTCGAGGACATTATTATTAACCCCCGGAAAATGACCCCCTAGGACAATAGCCCTTATGACAATAAATTAAACCCCCTTGATGGACAGTCACCCCCCCCCCATCATGCTTTTATCAAAACCTACTTAATATGATCAGGGTAGACTTCCACTTTAATGAACGGGGGGGGGGGGGGTAATTGTCCTCGGGGGTAGTTTTCCGGGGGTGATTGTCCAGGGGTAATTATCCTGATACGAAAGATATAATGAATGTCATCATACCAGTAACCTGCAGACTGCAATGTTTCCGCTCATAGCACCCAGATGGAGAGCCGTACCATTCTCAGCGTCTCGTGCGTGTACGTCTGCCCTGCCCAATGTAAGTAGAATCTGACCGAAACAAGGAATAATGTCAGATGCATGAAAAGAAGAATATCATGAATAATCTAATGATATATATTTAAAAAATGATATTTAATGATATATATTTAAAAAAGTAAATCTAATTTTAAAGGGAAAAAAAAATCCAAAGAGAAGAGGCGTAAATATTCACTTCTGAATGACAACCGCCTATAAACTAAAACAACAACAGCAATGATAAAGAGCTGCTGAAGTTAGAAATACGAGAGATAAGACGGAGAAAAGGAAAAGAGGCGGAGTTCAAAATAAAACTTCTTCACGTTGGCCAAAGCCACCCCTTCCCATTCATCACCCGATACAAGTGGTATACAGCAACCGAACAGCAGGAGAAATAATAGAGGAAAGGAGAAGTAAGGTGTGACATTGAAAAGGGGTTTGGTTTTGTATATTTTACAAATTACAACACGATTGTGTTTCACGCTTAACTGTACGTCTTAAAACCCTTTGAATGCAACCCCAGTCCATTTTGGTAACACTTTCAGCATTCTTTTCTTAATAATAAGCCAAAATTCAAATTTTGTCTGTGATTCTTCTTAATTCCATACATTATTTTCAATAAGCCCATACAACTATTTTCAGTACAATAATAACCAATTTCTCAACAAGTTTTCGACAGTTTCTCAACACCCCATAGTACTTAGTAGGGACTTTTAGATTGAGTGGACGAGAACGGCGTGAACGTCCACTGATCATGCGTGTCTGTGGCAAGCCGTTTTAACACTTATTCCTACAGTATATCAAGAATTACCATTGCTTTACAACAGAAAATTATTTCTTGATATCAAGGATCCAATTCTTGATATCAAGAAATAGGAATAAATGTTTAAAACGGCTTGCAATGGACACGCATGATCAGTGGACGTTCACGACGTTCTCGTCCACTCGATCTAAAAGTCCCTATGATCATGAACCTGATCCTTACGTTCGTCATCTCCTTATGCCCTCGTCGAGCGCTGATATGAAGTGGAGTTAGACCAGTCGAAGTTTTCCTGTCGATGTCGGCGCATCGTGCGAGGAGGACGTGGGCGACGTTGACGCTGTTCATACGAGCAGCAGCGTGGAGGGGTGTGGCCTTGATGTCGAGGTTGAGTACGTCAACGTCTGTGAGAAACGTTGTGTGTGTGGTTTTATTTTGAATTTATTTAAAATAGTTTTAATGGTTGGTTTTAGATTATATTTCACGAAAATGGGAGTAGAATGCGTGTTGATTAGAATAATTATCAAACGGAATAGTAAAGTGACAACAATTTCAACTTTCTTCTGAATTTTTGAATGACAACTTTTAAGATTATGTGTCTTCCGACAGAATGCTCAGAGACAGAATATTATCAATTGCACTGACCTGACTTGAAAGACAAAGTTTACGGGATATCAAAGAAATTTTCCATTCGTCAACCTCATTAGGGAAAGCGATTTCCTTTTTTGGTAAATATGGCAAGATGTTAATTCTTTGTCCAAATTATCAGCCAGTAATTACTGTGAGGAGACAAAATTGTACTTTCCCCTGATAAATGGCACAACTATATCAAATGGATTCTGACATAAATATTTTACACTATGCATTCCATTTTCTTTTCGCAACGCATACATTTCTAGGCGAATACAAAATTAATGTATACAAACGTTGCAAGTATTCAAAACAATTAGTATCTTTTCAATTCATGTGAATTTTTCCAATATCCTGTCTGGCATTAAAAGTAAAGTCCCATATACCTGCGCCTCGTTGCAGAAGTTCTCTTGCAATGAAATCTCGATCTTGAATAGACGCGTAGTGAAGAAGAGCCAGATTACTCTTATCCAACTTGCTCAAGTTGAATGAGCTGTTTTCGGTCAGCAGATCCTTCATGTTCTCCAAATCGCCTCTCCTGACAGACTGATTAAGTAAATGAATTAAAATTGGAGAGAATTAGGAAGAAGCATTAACTAACACAGTTTAGAATGATAATAGCACGATTAATTTTGAATGTACAATGTGCAATGATTGTAAAGAACAATTCATGCTAAAAAAAGGTTTCCATTATAGGACGGAGCCGGGAAACGTCCCTTACAACCGCCCCCCCCCCCCGTATACCGCACTCAAAATAATACAAAATCAATATTTTTGTAAATACCAGTGGGTGCCGCGGGGAAAAAAATGTTTAAATACTTTTTACATCTTATGGAAAGTATATTACCAACTAGGCGAATTCGGCGCCCGATTAATTTTTCCCGCTTTTGCTCTTGTTGTTGTTGTTGTTGTTGTTTTTTTTTTGGGGGGGGGGGGGGGTGGAGGGATATGCTATGAAAGTAATGACTAGGGCCCTTTTGCATAAAGAGTTGATTTTAAACTCAACTTGATTTTCAGCCAATCAGAATTGATTATTTAGAAGGTGCGTTTTTTAAATATAATTGCGTTTAATCTCATATTTTATGTGAACGATGAATGTGGGGTGTGTGTTCCTATTTTTTCTTTCTTTATTACGTATAGATTTGTACAATGATAAGAACTACATGATTTGCCTAAGGGGTTTAGCCGGTGACATAATGCTTCGTGAGTCATTAAGATGTAAATGTCGATAACCTTATTGCATGATGTTCTATTAAATAAATAGGCGAGGGAATAGGCCCTAACTTAAAATTACGTAATTTGGGGGAAGGAGGGGGGGGGGGGGTAATGGTGTGGGTGGTGTGGGGGTGAGTGTCACAATGGGGGGGGGGGGGGACATAAATTAGGAGAGTTAGGACACAATAAGAAATATCCTTTCTGACACCATATTTCGCTCCTTCCAATTCCATCTACATAATTATACAGAAAGAATAGTGACTGACCCCCGATTGGACACAAGTTACATCACTGTCAACCACTTTACTCTCTGGTAACGGTAGCCATTATTTTATCAGGCGTAGAGGCATGTTTCTAAAAAATTGCAACAACCCTAACCCAACCTGATGCACATGGCACTATATGCAAACAGTGCATTAGCTACCTTAGATACATTACGTTATGGCTATTTTTTTATAGAGAAAAACCTGCCTCTGTGACTGATTAAACAATGCCTGCCGACTAAAGTGAGGAATGTTCCTAATAGAAAAGCGAAGAAAAGGGATTAAAATAATAATGTTAATTTCATGCAAAGTGCACTTTTATATTTCGTATTACATAAAGAAAACAACCAGAAGAAAACAAAATAGCGTCAAGAAACTATTACCGATCTATACGCATTTTATCAACATCTAGGGCTCACGAACATCATCTACGGAAAGGAAGGGGAAGAATAAATTCAACTTACATCGACTAAGTTGGACATGAGTATCGGTGAAGTGACCCTTCCAAGCTTATTTCTCTTCCTCTTCGGGAACTTCGTCTTGACGTTGCCAAGGAAACCGCCTTTGACGCTTTTCTCGTCACCCTGTTCCTTGCCGGTGTCGAGAAACGACAACTTGCTATTCATGAAATTGGCATGATCGGGTTCGACAGCCAAATCATCGTCGTGATCGCGGGGTGTCTTCTGGTGGCCGTCGACGTTGGAGTCGATAACGACTTTCAGTGACACGGTAGAACGCGTATGGTCGCTGATCTCGCTCATGGCGTCACTCGACGACGTCGAACTCTTTCCGTAGACGCTCTCGTCGTCGACTGGTTGCAGCTGAAGACCATGCTTGCTGAACCGTATCTTGTTGGACGTCGACATCGCCGTCGACATCGATCTTCCGTCATCATCCATCGTTTCGTCTCTAGCTTCTATTGACTGCGGACCTGATAATGGACTTCGTGATGAGGAGGGCATTGACGTCAGCTCAAAAGCGGGGTTGACATACTCGCCCGAATGTCCGTCCTCGTCGTCAGACTGGTCATTGTTGATTTTCGGTTTGTCGTGATCGCCTTGGTTCCACATCGTGATTGAGTGATTCTGTGGAGGAAAAAATGAGAGAGGAGACAAATAATTTAAAAAAAAAAAGAGAGGGGCAGACCGAAGAGAAAAGATTTTCGAATACATTTCCCAAACACACTGGTGATGATTTTCATTTTCACTCTGATCTTTTATGTAATGATGGCATCTGTATGGCTGATGGAGTCAACGTTATGTACTTTGCTTGTTGTTATGTCGAGCAAGCTGTTGGAGGGTTGCCAAGCCTGATCGACCTTCGTTTAAAAAGTTTCAGACGCTACCAATTTCGAAACTACAAACTGCATTCCGTTGGCCAGCTACAGAGAGGACTGGTGATATTACCAAGTCCTGCGTCAAAATCAATCAATAAGTTTCATTGTGTCTTGTTTTAATGTCTAGCTGCATCCTAAACCTGACGGAGAATCACAAGAAAGGATATCGTAATGAACCATTTCGATGTATTGAATTGTTGGACAGCACAAGTCAAAAGAAAAAGTACATTTTAATTGATGTCGGTTAGTCTGAAGGCTGAAAGCATTGTTTATAAATTAGTGTGCATTTACCTTCTTTATCTTGCTGACAGTCCTGGGGCGTTAATTCGACAAAGTCTCGTTATCCTGAATAATGATCACTGTATAATATCCGAACACATTCTCGCTCCAGGAATGATGGTGGAACCGTGGAACTCAAATTCATTGCCAGAAAAGTGTCCCCTCGAAAACAATCCAAAGAGAAGAAGCTAACCAATATGGAAAATGTTGAGTAATTGTATTAAAAACAAAATAAAATTGTCAATGGTATAAGCTAAAGATGTTACTAAAGGCTACACTTTGACAAACGACTCCTGATGATGAATTAAACTTGGGGTTGTAATCTTTAGTGTTCATCAAAATCTTGGACATGGTTCACTTTGCATAAGAGCTTATATTGTTACGTATCAGATTAATCAACCAATCAGATGACCTGTTACATAATCGGTATTTGTTATGATTACTTGTAAAGTTATTCATCTATTTGCGAGAACGCAAACAAACACCTAATTTTACAACAATCGTGTAATCTCCGAAACGCTAATAAGGATGGAGCAAATGGTTGTTTCTTCAATTTACTTTGTGACCCAATACATCCCTAGCACCATTCTAGTACATTGTCATAGCGCTCTCTGCGTTGATTTTCATTTAGTCGATAAGCATGTTTCTAAAAATTGAGACAACCCTAACCCTACCCCGAACTCTAACCTAGCCTCTTGTCGATGGCCCCAGGCGCGGATCCAGGGGGGGGGCCGAGCGGGCCTTGGCCCCCCCCCCCCGCAAAAAAAAAAAAAAAAAAAAAAAAAAGAGAGAAGAAAGGAAAAGAAGGGAAAGGGAAAGAGGAGAGAAAGGGAAAGAAAGAAGAGGAAGAAGAAAAGAAAAGGGGGAAAAAGGAGATCGGGGGGGGGGGGCGAAAGGGCCTTGCCTCCCAGGCTGTTGACCCCCCCCCCCCCCCTCCCCCCAATCAAAAAAATAAGAGAGAAGGAAGGAAAGGGAAAGAAAAAAGGAAAAGAGGAGATACTGGCGTACCGATGGGGGGGGGGGGGGGTGGGCTTGGGGGAAATCAAATTCAAACGTGGTTTGTTTCTAATTCCACAACGGTGGATTACAAATAATGCTGATATGACATAATTTCCGAGATTTTTCCTCACTTTTTAGTATATTATACGTTTGTATGTGTTTGTTGGAAAATGACAAATTCCTAAATTTACAGCCAGGCAAGAAATATGATTCTTGAGATTCCTACATGTCAGTGCCCGAGGTACGGCGGGGATCGGGAGCACCGAGCTCCCCCCCCCCCCACCCCCACTTTTTGAAAAAGTATATTAAAGAGAAATAATATAGAATGAGAGCAAGAATGAAAGAATAGTTAACTGCCAGTGTTAAAAAATAATGAGGCATCAAAATATGCCCATCTGACCGTGATTAATGCCTAAAACCCCTAAGCCTCCGGGGGCTCTGCCCCCTGGATTCCACCTAGGGCCCTACGGCGGGCCCTTAGATGATCATCTGACGGTAATTTAATGCCTCAAACCCCTGATTTTTGGCGGCTCCGCCCCCTGGACCCCACGCCAAATAGTGACCTGCCAGTGTCACAAAATAATAAGGTATACAAAAAAAATGCTCATCTGACCTTAATTAAACGCCTAAAACCCCTGAGCTTCCAGTGCCGGCTCCGCCGCCTCGACCCCACCAGGGGCCCTAAGACGGGCCCCTGAATGCTTTTCTGACCGCTTGCGGGGTTAGACAAGGTATCAAAATGTGTTTATCTGACCGCAGACGCGTAGCCAGGGGGGGGGGGGGGGAGGGGGGGGGGGGAGGGGGGGGGGGGAGGGGGGGGGAGGGGGGGGGGGAGGGGGGGGGGGGCGGTCCCCCCAAATCGGAAGAGGACGTAGGAAGAAAAAGGAGCAGACAAAGAACATCTTTGAAATTCAGACAAGGATTAACAGTATAGAGAACGGTACAACGCATCGGCTTCTTTCTCTAATAATTTAATGAAACGTCACAGCGTCGCGCAGGAGGGGGGGGGGGGGGGGGGACTGAATTCAGACAAGGATTAAAAATCGAGAACGGTACAACGAATCATCTTCTTTCTCTCATAATCTTATGAAACGCCAAAGCTTCCGCGCTTCGCGCGGGAGGGGGGGAACCTGAATTCAGACGAGGATTCAGAGGCGAGAACGGTAATACGAATCTTAAATGGCTTAATGAAACGTAAAAGCTTCCGCGCTTCGCGCGGGATGGAGGGGGAACTAAATTCCGATGAGGATTATTTTCGAGAACGGTACAACGAATCGTCTTCTTTCTCTAATGATTTAATGAAAATTAAAAGCTTCCGCGCTTCGCGCGAGAGGGGGGAACCTGAATCTAGACGAGGATTAAGAGTCGAGAACTGAACAATGAATCGTCTTCTTTCTTTAATAGTTTAATGAAGCGTCAAAGCTTCCGCGCTTCGCGCAAGAGGGGGAGGGGGGAGACTGAATTAAGACAAGGATTAAGAGTCGAGAACAGTACAACGAATCGTCTTCTTTCTCTAATGATTTAATGAATCGTAAAAGCTTCCACGCTTCGCGCAGAAGGGGGAAAACTGAATTCAGACGAGGATTAAGAGTCGAGAACTGTACAACGAATCGTCTTGTTTTTCTAATGATTTAATGAAACTTAAAAGCTTCCGCGCTTCGCGCGGGAGGAGGGGGGAGGGAGAATCTAAATTCAGATGAGGATTATTTTCGAAAACGGTACAACGAATCGTCTTCTTTCTCTAATGATTTAAGGAAATTTAAAAGCTTCCGCGCTTCGCGCGGGAGGGGGGGGGGGGGAGAGGAAACCCAAATTCAGACGAGGATTAAGAGGCGAGAACGGTAATACGAATCTTTAATGGCTTAATGAAACGTAAAAGCTTCCGCGCTTCGCGCGGGATGAAGGGGGAACTAAATTCCGATGAGAATTATTTTCGAGAACGGTACAACGAATCGTCTTCTTTCTCTAATGATTTAAGGAAATTTAAAAGCCTCCGCGCTTCGCGCGGGAAGGGGGGGGGGTGGAACCTAAATTTAGACGAGGATTAAGAGGCGAGAACGGTAATACGAATCTTTAATGGCTTAATGAAACGTAAAAGCTTCCGCGCTTCGCGCAAGAGGGGGAGGGGGAGACTGAATTTAGACAAGGATTAAGAGTCGAGAACGGTACAACGAATCGTCTTCTTTCTCTAATGATTTAATGAATCGTAAAAGCTTCCACGCTTCACGAGGAAGGGGGAAAACTGAATTCAGACGAGGATTAAGAGTCGAGAACTCGACAACGAATCGTCTTCTTTCTCTAATAATTTAATAAAACGTCAAAGCTTCCGCGTTTCGCGGAGGAGGGAGGGGGGGGGGGGAAATCGCCCCTCCCTGCACCGACCCCCCCCCCCCCCGCATTACGTCACTGTTGGTCACTATTACGTACCAATATTTGGCTCGCATAATTTCAAATTTGGGCCCCCCCCCCCTAAGAAATCCTGGATCCGCGCCTGGATGGCCCTCGCTTTGTTGGAGTCCGTAAATTCTGGCGAGCGAAGCGAGTCAGAATTTACGGACTCCAAGTCTCCAACAAAGCGAGGGCCACCGACAAGAGACTAACCCTAACCCTACTCCTATACATGATGATTACGGTATTCGGGATACAAAACATGGTATGCGAATTTAGCTACCTTTGGTACAATAGATTCGTGGCTATTTTTAGAAGCATGCCTCTACTACTGATTAAAATAATAATGCCTACCCCTTCAATTACTCTATCTCGAAGTATTTTTGGGAGGGGGTTGGCAGGCGCGGATCAACGGGAGGGGGGCGGACAGGCCCGGGCCCACTAACCACAATTTTACCTTTTTGTTAATTGGTCAAGGGGGGGGGGGGGGGGGGGGGTGTCGAGAAGAAAAAAAAATCCGTAAACAATTAAGGGGTATATTATGATTGTGTCTGTTGGAAAAAAAAACAAAAAATGGCCCCAATTTTTGATCTTGGCCTTCTTGGGTTACTATTTTCTTCAGAACAATACATCACCCACATAAAATGCAATAGATGCAAATATAATTTCGCCTTTTATCCAAGATCCTACATGGGTAACCTGTTTTGCCAAAATGAAGGGTTTTGAGAGTAACCCCCGTCTTATAAACCCAGGCTAACTTTCTGCGGACTAATTCCATTTGGGAAAAGAAAAGGTAATAGGCCTGTTAAGTCTCCAATTTCATCTCATGATATTTTATAAAATGTAATACACAGTTATTGATAATGCGGTTGGGTGGTGCGCCGTGGTGTAAGAAGAATTTATTTTGGCCGACCCGGGTGAGTTCATCTTAACACTATGAACATGACTGACAATGAGAGCGGACAAAATATACAGTTCCTCAGGTAGACAAAGGAACATCCCTTCACTGCTATTATGTAAAAATGTGTAGAACAGGTGTCACATGCATATTCACCTTTTTACATAATAGCTGTGAAGGGATGTTCCTTTGTCTACCTGAGGAACTGTATATTTTGTCCGCTCTCATTGTCAGTCATGTTCATAGTGTAAAGGGGAAGTCAACCCAGATATTAAATTGGTTTTAATAGAAACAAAAAAGTTAGAGAAACAAATCAGTGAAAGTTAGAGAAAAATCGGACTACAAATAGGAAAGTTATGAATCTGTCAAAATCAATAACTTTCTTATTTATTGTCCGATTTTTCTCAAGCCTCACTGATCTTTTCTCATTTTTCCCCTCGTATTAAAACAAAGTCATTATCAAGTCTTTACATAATTTGTTGTGGATACCGGAAAATTGGTAGAGGATTTGATGGTCCAAATTCACAGCAAATGATACCCTTTCCCCCTTCCAAGCATGATACCATCACTGTTAGGAGTTGCAAAATCATAGATTGCAATGATCAGATTCCCGGATCAGATTATTTCTACAAAAAAAAATCTTTCCGCAAAGCTTTACTTAGAATTTTTAGAATGCGAAA